CACCTGCCTCGGCCGAGCGCGGCTGAGCTTAGGAATGCCTCGAGCAGTTTCAGCCACCACACGTCCCAATCCCTCGATGGTTTTCACCCTCGTCACTTCAGCCTCGGGTCGGATGCGGCTCTTGAAACTTTCGCGGCGCTTGTTCAGGCGATTGAGTCCCTGGGCCTCTTCCCCAAACAGCTGTTTTGGCTCCTTTTTCCCTTGCTTGAAAAACCGAAAGGGGGCCTGAGACCCATTTTGTTATGTGCGGGACCCGTTTGTGTTTGGGGGAGACTGAGGCGCCCCGCCACTGTTGACTTCAATGATAGGTATCCTCGCAAGTACTGGGCTTTCGGACCAGGTAGGAGTGCTGAAGACGCTGTGTGGCATCAGGCCGCACGGGCCGAGGTCGCGCACCATGACGACAAGGTGACGGGGGGATTCATATGGGACGGGACTAAGTATTACGATTCCTTCGATCTCTCCGTGCTGCGCCAGCGCGCCCTAGATTATGGCATTGATGCTACGATTGTGAAGACGACATATAATTATTGGCGAGGCCCTCGGTTGCTACGGCTGGGTGCCCAATATGCTTCTGTGCCCTACTTCGCCTCTTCGGGCTTACCCGCGGGCGATATCTTTAATGATGTATTCGTTCGCGTCTATAGTACCGAGGCCTTCGGTAAGTTCGTTGCCAGCCATGGTGATGTGTGGTTATCCTCTTATGTCGACGATGACAGCGCGACGACCGAGGGGACGGAGGAGGAGGTGATTAGCAACGTTACTCGAGCAGCAGCAGCGTTGTTCATCATCTTTAGAGATGAGCTTCGAGTTGCGGTGCATCCTGACAAAGTTTGCACGTTCGGCAGTTCGCTCGCGATGGCCAAGAGTATCGCACGACATCTTGGGCACATGTCTGGGCAAGTCTCTAACAGCGTGGTCTCACTCGGCACCGACCTGGCTCCTGGCCAGCGTCGTTCGGCACCCAGAGCTTTGCGGAGACGACGGGCCCGCCTTCGTGATATGCGTCGGCGGCACCGCGTCCTCCAGCGATATCGTCACGCCCTTCCTCGCCAGAAAGGTCGTATGGGAAAAATCTATGTCGCTGGAGTTGTGCCCGCGGCCAGTTTGGGATCTGGGGTGATAGGGATGAGCAATCAGGAACTCCAGCAGGCTCGACGGGTCCTCTTAGCCTACAAGCCCCCTCGACACCAGGGATGTTCTTTGCACGCCAAGCTCGCCATACTAGGCGATCCTGTGTGGCGCGCTGCTGTTGCTCCTGCGCTTCACTGGGCTGGGGCGGTGTGGACGGCGATCACGTGTCCTCAAATATCCCAGTACACGGTTAAGGATGTGTGCTCCATCTGGCGCACGATACCCTTCGATGATGATGTCACCTGGCGGTCCTCCAGGGGACCTGTGCAGCGTATGCATCTCAGCCTTCATAGACTGGGATGGGTCTCTACGTCGGCTTTGACTTTTCGCGACGATAAAGATAGAGAAGTCCATTTAGGTTACACCTCCCCCGCTATGCTTGCTCACATCCTGGATCTCGCTACCCAGAGGGCCCACGAGCGGGCCCTGGCCGAGCACACTCCTGGGTTCGGTGGCGATCGCGTTTGTGTTGAGCCCCTCAAGAAGTTTCTGGGGCCCCAAGGAAAGGGCCTTAGCCCTCGTGAAAAATATCTGGCCCTCACCTGTTTCTGTAAGGGAGTGTGGACTCGTACGCGAGCTCGTGCCTGTGGGTACCAGACGGATGGCTTGTGCCCACTTTGCGGGCAGCCCGACAGCGTTCGACACCGCCTGTGGCAGTGCATGCACCCGACGGCGGCTGCGGCTCGAGCCGAGGCGCTGGACGGGGTCCCTGTCGAATGGCATGCGGAGGCGATCGAGAGCGAGGATCGGCTTTTCTTTGGTGAGATGAAATGGTCCCACCCCGAAGCCTCGTATCCGCCCCCTTCCCCCGAGCCCAACCCTCAACTGTATGATGCCTCGGGTGCCGCGGTGCCTTGGGACGCGATCGATTTGCGGGGGCTCGATGTGTGCGTGGATGGTTCGGCCAGCAAACATTGTATCCGTGAGCTCTCGAGAGCTTTCTACTCCTGGATCTTTTTGGGGTCCCGACCCAATGAAATTGTTGCCACTGCTCGTGGTACGGCCCTGGACACCCTTCCCCAAACATCACAGACCGCCGAACATCAGGCGATGGCTTTGCTTCCCATGTTCCAGCAGCTCGGAGGAAGAAGGTACGGGGACAGCCTGACCGTCGTTAAGTTATGCCGTGCGGATCCCAGGCATCAAGTTTCTAGGAAGCATCGTTATGCTGGTCTGCGACGCGGATCGCTGCTGCACGAAGTCGCTGGCCATTCTCCTGTTGTCTCTCATACGCCAGCGCACCGACAACTGGCTGATATTGACGCTCTGCCCGGTGATGAACGGCGTATCGGCTTGGGAAACTGGCATGCAGATGCTCAGGCCAAAACAGCTCTCCTCTCTCACCCCCAATCCTCTCAGAATGAAAGCGAGGAGGTGGACAGGAAGTGTAAACTACTGCGGGTTGTTGCACGTGTTTGCGGAAAGGTCCTTTCGGCCTTCCCTCATGAGAGATTTGATCGTATGAGCTTTGGCCCTAGGTCCAAGTTTTTAAAATCCGGGGGCTGGCATGCGTGGCAGGACCTCGAACAAGGCAGGGCGCGGTGCTTGCATTGCCTTGCTTTATGGACCGACCCGCTTTCCAGACCTATGTTAGGGTGCAAAGGCATGAGTAGCACGTGGCGTAAAACTTTAGATGTCAGCCTCGGTCACACCCTTGCCCACTGCCGAGTCTTAAAGGGCGATGCCGAGAAAACTCTTTTCTTTTGCATTGTGTGCGGAGCGTACACAGCCAGTCGCTGCCATAAGCTCGGGCAGGAGTGTTCACTACGTCGGTTGAGCGGAGCTCCGACAATTCTCCGCCGCATATACAATGGCCTCTACCCCCATTATCGGGAACCTTCGAGGCTCACGAGCAGCACGAGAAGAGGCAGCTCGTTTTTGTGTTTCTCTGCGTCTCAGCCACCGCCACAGGAGGTGGTCGTTTCAGGTGCGAATGCTTCTGGCCTAGTCCAGACGCCTGGCATGATAGCGCTGCAGGCGCGGATCCAGGCAAAGGAGGCGGCCGCCAATTCGCGCGATCGTGTCGTCACGGCATCTCGGCACCACTCTTCGGCATCGGGTCAGAGTCCCTCCAGCGCATTTGCGCGTGTAGAGGAGCCCGTCGACGATTTTGCTGCCGAGGAAGAGGCGTCGAGATCTTTGGGTGTTTTGCTTGCTGATGGACAGGAGCCACGAGAGCCTTCTGGCTAAGCTTTGCGCGAGGCAGCCGTGCGCCTCGCCCATGATGAGGACGAAGGTCCTCTTATGGCAGCCGAGGAGGAGGCGTTTCACGTCGAACGCGTTTAATGCTGCTGCAGTGTGCTTGTGCGTGTCACCAGTGGTCTGGCGAAGTTAGCTTCGTGGACCGTGCTGGCGCCGTGTGCTTGCGCTCTGCCTAGTTTGTTTCAGAGCCTCTTGTGCAACGCCACAGGGCGCTCTCGACCGAGGCTCGAGCATAAGCCTCCTCGGTCGCCGCTGATAGAGTTCATGCCCTATGGGACCGATGACGAAAATGCGCCCGCATGCGGTTCCACCCCCCATTCTGGCACACCCCTCACACGCTTCGTGGCCCCATAGGGAGCTCCACCGAAGGCCCCAGTGGCTGCGCCCGCATGCGGTTCCACCCCCCATTCTGGCACACCCCTCACACGTTTCGTGGCCCCATAGGGAGCTCCACCGAAGGCCCCAGTGGCTGCGCCCGCATGCGGTTCCACCCCCCATTCTGGCACACCCCTCACACGTTTCGTGGCCCCATAGGGAGCTCCACCGAAGGCCCCAGTGGCTGCGCCCGCATGCGGTTCCACCCCCCATTCTGGCACACCCCTCACACGTTTCGTGGCCCCATAGGGAGCTCCACCGAAGGCCCCAGTGGCTGCGCCCGCATGCGGTTCCACCCCCCATTCTGGCACACCCCTCACACGTTTCGTGGCCCCATAGGGAGCTCCACCGAAGGCCCCAGTGGCTGCGCCCGCATGCGGTTCCACCCCCCATTCTGGCACACCCCTCACACGTTTCGTGGCCCCATAGGGAGCTCCACCGAAGGCCCCAGTGGCTGCGCCCGCATGCGGTTCCACCCCCCATTCTGGCACACCCCTCACACGTTTCGTGGCCCCATAGGGAGCTCCACCGAAGGCCCCAGTGGCTGCGCCCGCATGCGGTTCCACCCCCCATTCTGGCACACCCCTCACACGTTTCGTGGCCCCATAGGGAGCTCCACCGAAGGCCCCAGTGGCTGCGCCCGCATGCGGTTCCACCCCCCATTCTGGCACACCCCTCACACGTTTCGTGGCCCCATAGGGAGCTCCACCGAAGGCCCCAGTGGCTGCGCCCGCATGCGGTTCCACCCCCCATTCTGGCACACCCCTCACACGTTTCGTGGCCCCATAGGGAGCTCCACCGAAGGCCCCAGTGGCTGCGCCCGCATGCGGTTCCACCCCCCATTCTGGCACACCCCTCACACGTTTCGTGGCTCCATAGGGAGCTCCACCGAGCGCCCCAGTGGCTGCGCTCGCATGCGGTTTCCACCCCCCCATTTCGGCACACCCCTCACTCGTTTCGTGGCCCGGGGGCGCCACCAAAGAATATATCCACAATTGCGGTATTCACAACTACGTATGGTTGGGTCTTTCGTCAGGCTAATGTATTTTATCTCTTATCGTCTTCCTCCCCCTACCTTCTCATTCTTAGCACTGTTTCACATGTTTTGATCACCGTGCTGGCTGATTCGCGAGTGGTGTCTCTGGGGCTGGAGAAATCACGGAATCACGGCACGGATCAAACAAAAGCATTCCAGTAGCTACGTGCAGTGTTCTACCCGGTGATTCCACCATATTTCCGTCCACATGTCCATCTTTCATTCCATCCCACCATCCATCCTTCACTCTTTCTTGTGCTTCTCTCTCTCATCCTCCCCTTCCCCCGTTCCGTCAAATCCCTCCGACAATTCGTTCGAAGGCATCCTGGCTCTCTTGGCGGGAATCACCACCATTGAGCATCGATGCGTGCCAGTTATCACTTTGGAGGGTAACGATGGATGTCAACAAGAATCTTGGAAGGGGAGCGCGCCACCCTGCGAGATTGCTCCTCTGACGAACTCCGTGTGAGACTGAAGACACTCGTCTGTGTCGTAGGGTGGCGTCGCCCTAGAGACGGGAGATCCTTGCCCAGCCTCGTCCTCCTCCTCTTTCTCCTTTTCTTTTCGAATGCACCGCAGCCGCATCGGGGCAAGGGTCAATATCTTGCTGCGGGGCTCTTTCTCTGGTCTGGGCATGGTTGTCTGGGCAGAAGAAGTAAGCGGCGTCAGACAAGCCACGCTTTGCACAGCCTGGACGTTTCCGCAGGGCCTTGCTTGTAACATTGTGCACGGGTCCCTAAGCAGGTTTGGTGCATCGTGCACGCCATGCGCGGGGCCCTTTATGTGGGCCGTGTGTTGCGCGCTACTTCGCGTGGAACTTCTTGCTGCATGGTCTCGCTCCTTCAGCTCCCTCGCTGCATGCATATCCATGGACGTGTTGGTATCTGCGCAGTTCACGTTGCGTATGCTCAGATCACGTGTCTGCTTGTGTCTGTCTTTGAATGACGTTCGTCCGATGCGTGCGCATTACACGCGCTTCGAGTTCATTCGGCGATGTGTGTTGTCATGTACTCGGTGTGAGGCGCGACCGCCGAAACGTCCGAATGATTTGGAAAACGAGCGCATGGTGTATCAAAACGTGGTAGGCCGAAGAGTGGCCATACTTGTCTATGGGCGAGCCGACAGACATCGAACAGCCACCATGAGTTACCAGACTCTGACAACCGTCGAGCATGCCAGCGAGGACACCCCCAAGCGCGTTCGAGGACGTGACTTGGAGGACGAGGAGCAGCAGGAGAGCTCAGCCGTAGCTCGCTAGTCATCGTAGCCTAGCTACGCCTAGCGTTTGACCAGTCTAGCCTTGCCTAGCCGCTCAGGTCGGTGCTCTAGCTTGACTTCGCTAAGTGCACACCCGCGAGAAGCAGTCGAAGCTTTGCCATCTTGCCAAGCCTTGCTTGGTCCAGCCCGGCCCAGCTTGGCTTGGCCTGGCGTAGACCAGCCCATCCTCATCCACCCCATCCTAGTCTCCTTGGCGTCGCCCCCCTTCTCGGACGACTGGTGGTTTGTGGATCATAACTCGGCTCTCCGGGGGCCGTTCGGGACGATCCGGGCACCCCCAGAATGCTCTCGGCGAGGCCCAGCCGCTGGAACGCATCCCAGGGTTGGAAAACGCGGAGAACCTTCGAAAACTTTTAAAAACCTCACACCTCGAACCCGAAATCCAGAGGTCGCATTGCAATGCTGCAAGCTGCCAAGGACCCTTGGCTAGGAGACCTCGTCAGGCGACGCGATGAGAACGGGCGGGCTCCTGACAGACGGGACGGGGGCCCCGAGGCGTGCGGCGTGCGAAGCGCTCGCGGCCAATCAGCGCACCGCATCCACCTGGCGCCAACAGCAGAAGCCTGGGTGCCGCGGTCCGATGCAGAGCCGGGAGAAAAAACCAGCGTGGCCCGCGCAGATCCGGAAGGAAAAGGATCGCCTCCGGCGCTCGAACCCTTTTTTGAGCGACGCAACAAAAACGGAGTCGTGTCTTCGCCGACATTGGCTCGCAAACTGCCCACGTGAGGTCGCGCGTAAGCGCCCTCGTCTCCAATGTGGCGTGCCCCTCTGGCGGCCCGCGTAAGCCACCGCGTAAGGTCGCTGCGCCATCGTGCGTGAGACCCGATTTTAATCGTCGCTCATTTGGAGGATCATCTGGGGGGACCTTCGCCCACGATCGGGCGGGGGTGAGAGCAGCCCCGCAGGATCTCAACCTCTCCTTCTCCTCCTCCTCCTCCTCCTCCTCCTCCTCCTCCTCCTCCTCCTCCTCCTCCTCCTCCGTCGAGGGTCGTGGCGTCGTTCTCCTCTTATGCATTGTTTAACCCCACGTGCAATATTAAAATGAAGAACTGCACCCTGAACCTTCGATCCTTGCAAGCCTGCTTTACGAACCGCTTCAGAGCCGCCCAACTGTAGTGATATATAGTTGGCCAAAGTGTCGCTCGTCGTTCCAGTATCGATGCCTCCCTGGGATCTGTGACATCTGAGGCCATGACGCACATGTAGAACGCGTCGGGACGTGAAGCGGTAGGTGCGTCCTGTGATCCCAGAAGATTCGGGGAACTCCCGGCCACTTCAAGTCGTTCTCGATTCGTGCGTGAAGAATTCCATACTCCCACCGGCCGAGTAGTGCCCACCACCCTCATTAGTGCCGCCGAAGGTCGCAAATAATCCCAGAACCAACAAGCCGACGGATCTCTGCTCGTGTCGGTTGCACTAAACGTGGTTTGTGGAGGTCGGCGGCCTAGAAGGGGCTTGTGTACTGTTGCAGGAGTTGGAACCTAATTGTGCTCGACGTTGCAAGTCAAACAAAATTCGAAACGAAACTTTGCACTGGCCGGAGCGAGTGCCGACGTCAACAGCACAAACATCACCAAGATAAACGCGACACCACGCCCAAACCCGTACCTGGTCGACACCCGCCCGTGATCATCGGTGCGCAATTGGTCGTGGCGTCCAGTCGCAAGCTGCAAATGTGGGACGTCGCACTTGCACCACTCCCTGAGTCTGACCTCACGCGGCATCGATGGCTGCGGTGAGCTCCCATCGGGGATCCGTGCACCAGAAAAGCTAAGGTTTTCTTGTCTTAAATTAAGCTCAAACAACAATGCTCGAGCCACCACGGCTTGAGCGGAGATTGCTCTGCGGACGACGACGGCCAAGATGATGACGACGCCGACGGAGACGACGAGGGAGACTCACAAGGCGCGACGCAGCTCGGAAAGCTCCCAGGGGACTCCTCCTGCGCCTCCCCTTTCTCCTTCACACCCTCCTCGCCCTGCCCATCCCTTCCTCCTCCTCCTCCTCCTCCTCCTCCTCCTCCTCCTCCTCCTCCTCCGCCTCCTCCTTCTCCTCATCCTCCTCCTCCTCCTCCTTCTCCTCCTCCTCCTTCCCCCCCTTCTCAAATCGAATACTCCTCCTCCACCCTCTCCCTCCTTGCGCGGGCTTCAGAACCACGTCGGGTGGGTCGGCGTCATCGGGTGCAACGTAGCGGCGAGGCAGGTACGCCAGTTGAAGACAAATGGCACTTGAAAGTTTAACCATCTTGAAAAATGAAGGAGCATTCACAAAGTAATGGGAGGCGGCGACGCCCGTAGGAGGAGGATGGGCGACATGGGGAAGGAAGGATATGGAGGGGCGAGAGAGGGAGAAGGCGAGGGGTGCCAAAAATCCTCCCTTCTCGACCCCTCCTCGCCCTCCACATCCTAAACTTGTTGGCTGAACTTTTCGGCTTAGACATCTTAGCTCATATTGTATCCAGCCGCCCTCGGAAGGATGGGGGTCCCCTATCAACCTCAGCTCTCGGGTCAGGGTCAGCTCCCCCAACTGGTTCTTTAGGGATCCCCGATACTACATTGAGCCCCCAAGGGGCTCCCAAGACGGCCCACGAGGGCCTCAAGGAGAACGCAAGAGGGGTCTCAGACGGGGGACACGAACAGCCATTTCGAGCTCTCTGCCCCGCGAGGCCCACGACTGCTCACCCACACTTCAAGGGAACTACCACACCTATCAGCGCCGCGGTGGGCAACGAAAACGCGGGCAAACGCCCGCCATGGAATAGTCTGGGCTGGCGGCGCGAGCAAAGCGATTAGATCATATTTCTGGTGACGGTCGTTACCTGGGGGTGGGGGGGGGCCAGGCAACGGTACCACTTGGGCGGGTTTGGGCACGTCGTGGCGGGTGTGCACTGCGATGGCCGTAGTGTGCGCGCGAGCACCAGCATGGGGGGAAGGTCCAAAACGCCCCCTGCGCACGATCGTTACCGTTACCCTCGGTGGAGGGGGGGGCGGGGGGGGCCAGGTAGCAAACTTTCCGGGGGGGGGCGATAAACGGGGTGGCGAATCCATATATATATATATATATATATATATGTGTGTTTGTGTTTGTGTTTGTGTTTGTGTTTGTGTTTGTGTTTGTGTTTGTGTTTGTGTTTGTGTTTGTGTTTGTGTTTGTGTTTGTGTTTGTGTTTGTGTTTGTGTTTGTGTTTGTGTTTGTGTTTGTGTTTGTGTTTGTGTTTGTGTGTGTGTGTGTGTGTGTGTGTATTTTTCTTGCCCCTGTTGGGCCTCAGGGGGGGTCCTTTGGAGCACCCGAGGTGCACGAAAGGTGCACCTTTCTTCCCCCCCCCCATATATGATCCAGGGTCGAGGGTTCACGGCCCCCCCCCCCCCCCCCCCCAGATGGTATGGTCCCAGGATTCCTCGGGCCCCCCCCCCCCAGATGGTATGGTCCCAGAGACGACGACGACGACGACGACGACGACGACGACGACGACGACGACGACGACGACGACGACGACGACGGCGACGACGACGATGACGGCGACGACTACGACGACGGCGACGACGACGACGACGACCACGACGACGACGACGACGGCTGCGGCGGCGACGACGCCGGCGGCGGCGGCGAAGACGACGATGATAACGAAGACGACGGCGACGACGACGATGACGACGACGACGACGACGACGACGACGACGAGGACGAGGAGGACGAGGACGACGAGGACGACGACGACGACGACGACGACGACGACCTCTGAGCCACCACAGCACTACACCACATCCACAGGGGGGGGGCACCGCAGCGCAGCACCACGCCACGCCCACTTCTGAACCACCACAGCAGCACACCACATCCACAGGGGGGGGGGGGGCACCGCAGCGCAGCACCACGCCACGCCCACAGGGGGGGGCGGGGGGGACCATCGCGCGGGGGTGTGGGGGGGGCCCAATGGCATCAGCATTGGGGGGGGGGCCCAAGCCCTGGACCATATATCGCCCACCCGTTACGCAACGTCCGATTTCTTCGTCCGCCTCCTCCTCCTCCTCCTCCTCCTCCTCCTCCTCCTCCTCCTCCTCCTTTTCCTCCTCCGCGTCGCCCTGCCGTCGGCGCTGTCCCGGTCGAACTCCCGATGAGGATGGTACCGCGGTGGACGCATGCATTGTTGGAAAAACAAGGGGAATTTATTCTAGACGCTTCGCGTGACCCCATCAGCCCATCCAGAAACGCTACCCAGAGGAATTGCCTCGATCAGGGAAGTGGGCAGCACACAGAGGAAGGGTCCCCCAGTGGAGGCTTCTTGGAGCGTCTTGGGGGCCTCTTGGCGATCCTGGACGCCTCCAAGAGCGTCTTGGGTGCCTCGGAGAGCTACTTGGGGCCTCTTAGGGGGTCTCTGGGGAGCCTCTTGGAGGCCTCTTGGGCGCCTGTTGGGCCTCTTGGGGCCGTCTGGGTGCCTCATGAGGCCCTCTTGGGATGCTCTTTGGAGCCTTGGGAGCGCTCTTGGAGCCCTCTTGGGTCATCTTGGAGCCATCTTGAGGCCTCAGATGTCCATCGGAAGCGAAAAGGCGAGAAAGCCAAAAACATTGTTTTTCCTGAGGTTTTGGAAGGATGTTGGCCTCTTCGGGGCCTCCTGGGGGAGCTCTTTGGCCACTTGGAGCCGTCTTGGAGCGGTCTTGGGGCCTCTTGGAGCATCGTGGGAGCCATCGTGAGGCATCTTGGGATATCTTGAGCCATCTTGGAGGTCATCTTGGGATCTCCCAGGCGCTCTTGGAGTCATCTTAAGCAGTAGGCCAACATGTGGCCAAAACCTTAGTAAAATCAATGATTTTGGCATTGTCGCCGAGGCCTCTTGGAGCGTTTTGGGTGCCTCTGGGGGGCCTCTTGGGGCCTCTTGGGGGTCTCTTGGGAGCCTCTTGGGGGTATCCTGGGGGCCTCTTGGGGGCCTCTTGGAGCCTCCTGGCCACCTCTTGGGGCCCTCTTGGGGCACCCGTGGGAGCCTTGGGAGCGCTCGTGGGGCCATGTCGGAGGAGATCGATCAAAGAAGGGGGGGGTCCTTAATTAGCGCCCCCCCCCAGGAGGCCACAATGTGGCCAAAACCTTTTTGTAAAACCAATGAATTTGGCTTCCTCACCGAGGCCGTTTTGGACGCTCCGACTAGGGGGAGGGGTAAACCCCTCCCCGAAGGGGAAGAAGGGGGTGGAAGAGGAAACACCCTAAACCACCTACGCCCTAAAGGACTGGTGGGATTTATCCGAAGCGACAGTCGTTCGACGTTCAAAATGGCAATAATAACATCTCTGATTTGCAGTGGTATCCCGTGCAATTTCCATTATGGTAATCGTGAGGACATGCGAGAAGCAAGTTTTGATGCGAATCGCAGAAGCGTGCGGCAAGTCACCGCCGCCCCATGCGTCATTAGAAAAGCACGTGCTGCCAGCCGCTGATCCAAAGCTGGGCCAGGGTACTGGGTCGTGTGTTTCCCCAGCCGTTGTGGAGATTAGCCGGGGGGGGACACCGGAAATCGTTCCAAGAGTCCAGGCAGCGGTCAGCTGCGAGGAGCCGCGGCAGAGCCATGGGGACCCGTGGAGAGACTTCGGCAAGTAACACCGGAGGGGCTGCCAGTATACCCAAGGCAGGAAATTCACAC